GTCTCGCTACACTGAGAGAAAAACAAACACGTTGCCAAACAAGTCTTGTTTGGGCCAACAAAATCGCTAGTTGAAAGTTGCCAAAAAAGAATTTGTTTGGTTCGAATTTCAAAGTCTCAAACATGAATAATTGTTCTACTTTCGACAGCAACGAAATATTTGGCTCAAGAGGCGGATAATTCACACCAGACAGGGCCTTTTCAGGATGAAAATATCTCATACAGAGGAAAATTTATCAACAAATATTTTATCCCCAAGTTACAAGATTGCTATCATATCATTATTATTGTTTCAGTTAAAGGTTCATTTCTTGTCTGTGATTATTAGACAACCGAAACGAAAAACTACTATCCCTTGTTTCACATAAAACAAAGATTTTTCGGGATTAAATACGTATGGGAATATCGAATAACAAACGAGTAGTGCTAGAAATCACACTTCTTATATGTACAGAGAATGCAATTTTTTTAACTACTAAATCAATTTTTGCGACAAAATTTTTTCATTCCGGCGCACTCTCTGTATGTTTGGCACAAAAAAATCCGTTTTTGATCATTTTCAAAAAACTATTTTCTTGGCGCAAGTAAGATTTGTTTGAAAACTTTGTCGTTTTTCTCTCAGTATAGCGTCGATTTACAACACACAGACACCTGAGGTTCACACATACAACACTACGTCGCGCGTTACATTTGTAATATTTGATCCGATTACGAATATGAATTCAGTCTGGCGCGAACCGCCGAGTACTCAGCACGTCGACCATCTGACTTGCTACCACTTTTGTATATACTTCTGGATACGATTAAATAAACAACAATTAAGTTGAATGAATTGTTAAGTAGTTTGAATGACTATACTTCTCGACACAATGACGTTTGATATTGAAAAAAATTACCTTTGGGAAGGTTACGATTCCTTTGGCGCCGTTATATGGCATGTTTTCCGTACCATTTTTCCGCAGGAATACGGGCAAAATAAAGAGAAAAATTCCCTCTCAATTAGTTTTTGGGATATGAGCATTTCAATTATTATTTTTCAAGAAACGAACGTTTCCATGAAGCTTCTTATACTTGCGACACCAATTCATGCATTCACATTCACACATTTGGATTGAATGATTTTATTTACAACCTCAAAACGACAAGACTCAAACTCAAAATTTGATCTCAATAGTTTACAAATTGTTAATTGAAATATGAGGAGGGAAGAGTGGAAGGACATTTTTCCCAAAAAGTTTTAATTATTCCCCCCCCCCCCCCCTCCTTAAATCCCACAATCCTACCGATAAATGATTCATTTATTCCGAACGAGATTTGTTAACTATGAGCGAAAGGTAGAGTTGAATATGACCATATAAATATTCGGTAATAGTTAACGAATAGTTCACTTGAAAGATGAAAGTCGAGGCAAACAAGGCTCCTTAGATATGCTTTTGGTAACTATTAATGAACGAACATTTGGTGAGACTGATAGACCCTAGTCTTCAACCAAATCCATTCGTTAACATTAACTATTCCTTTCTATCAGTGTCTCAACACCCCACCCCATTGTCAAATCCGAAATGAAAAGGTAGAAATAAAATCGAAAATCTCCATAATTCAGGAGAAATATAATGGAAATCGAGTTTTTTCATCATTTTTCCCGTAATCCTAGGGAAAAATGGTACGGAAAGATATGCTTAATGGTGGTGGCGCCTAAGGAATCGTAATCATCCCTTACTTTTGCCAAGGAATCATTTTCTTGGAAGAAGAGTTTATTTTTTTAAAAGAGTATTTATGCAAACCAGTCATTCCCAGATAGTCCATGTTCATCTCCAAATATTAGAATTATGCTAAATTATGAGATGATTATACTACATTAGCGCCACGCGCTCTCCCTCCAAATTTCAAAAACCTTACCGCCTAAAAATTCAAACAAATTTTCACCAATTCAACTTGAAAAATGCTTAGTTGTTATTTTTCAATTATCTTTGCTCGGTCACTCTCTGCAGCTAATTATTTTGATTTTTTTCTGCAGTAATTATTTATTTTCGTGGTTAACTGGAAATGGATGAATTTTCAAAGATTTAACAGTGGGATCGATATAATGAAAAAAAGTCAAGAGATGAAATGATCAAATTTCTTGTTTCCGTGCTTTTTTAAGGTAAAAAATCTTTTAAATTTAAGTAAGACTGTCACTTGCTGAACATTTAATTCCTGAAATGCGGAAAACACAATTAAATTTTTTAAATACTGCTTAGGGAATGTTCAAACAATATTAACAAAAATTAAAAAATCTTTTCACCAGTGTTTTTCAATTCATTTGCCGCCGAAATATTCAATTTGGAGTGATTTATTAAACGGAATTTTATGCGGAAGTTGATATAGAAAAAAATGAACAATTGATATTTTTTAACAATGCAAAATATATCGAGAAAAATATTCATATTTTTCTTTCAAAAATTCAAATTTTGTGCGTGTTGACTGACATAACGATACCCCCACTCTGACCCAAGCATTGGGTCTCGCCACTCCGACTACCTGCACAATACAACAGCACCCCTTTTTTTATGGTCATTGGCCTAATTGGGGTTGGGAGCTCGGTGAGCTCGGAGAGCTCACTTTGCCCAGACCTGGGTAAGAGTATGGGATTGGAACGTGAGCGATTCGGGTTCGATACCCGGCTGGGGAGCCAAAATTTGTAACACTAATCTCACAGTTTCACTGTCGAGCGGGAGTCTCGTTAAAGGGACGACTGTACCTGGGCAGGTTTTTCCCTCAAGTGGGGTTTTCCCTCGTCCTTCGGCGAATGCGGTACAGGGGGTTGGGGGTGGGAAGAGAACACATCGTAAAAACCCCAAAGGGTATACGACAGAAAATAATTTACTACATATGACCTTGAATGTCCACTCTTCATTATTTTTCAAATTGAGATTTTCTTACATAAAATAATGCGGAATAATCCAAAACTTTAATAATTGTCACTGGAGTTCATTCAAGGTCATTTGCTAGCATAATCATTCCGTAATTCAACAAAATTGTAATATTATATTTGGAGAGGGCCTTGGACCATCTGGGAAAGGCTCCTAAAACCATAAATTCTCCTCCGAAGGAAATGATTCCTTGGCAAACGTTTTTTTTTCTCAGTGCACATTTTGACATTATGTTGTAAGATTAGTTATTAATAATATAATCACATAATTACCTAGTTAATCATGTTGAAGAAGCCAAATGATGCTGTTTTTGACAATTACGGCATTATCTCAAAATAGAAAAGTACTAGTGGAAAATGTCGTAGAAAATTTTATCTGAAAAAATTTCTGATAGAAAATCTCTTGCAACATTTTTTCATAGTCCTTCGGTATCGAGATAATATCATATGTAATCTGATGTGCAGAAACTACTTGTTGCGTTTCACCACTTCCCTTCCGGAATTATATGATAAATATTTTAATCAGGCTTGGTTAGTATACTCTTCCGCTGGGATTTGGGTTCAGTCCAGTATCCATGGAGGTATATAGATGTGAAGTCTGGGGGTCGGGTTGGGTCGTGCATAGAAAATCAAGGTTTCCTACGGTGCACAGTAGAATATTGGTAATTTGCCCGTAAATGGTAAAAAAGGTGAATAAGTGGTGAAAAATCCCCTACAGTAACTATCAGTGCTCACGAGACGCATATGCCTTGCGGGGGTCAAATGTGGCAGGAATCCTTCCTCAAACAACAAAGGTAGACAGCACAATCTCAAAGATCAAACGACCTTATGGGTCAAGCGCGAGAGCCAAGCAGGAAAATCACAAGGCTCCGACAATTATGAGAATCAACCACGAGATGCAGGCAGAACAACCACAGGGGTCAAACGATCATAAATCGAACGAAATGATCAGAAAGCTCTCCCATTTGACCCTTATTTTTTACTTCCTTCTGCTGGTTGACCTTCGAAATTATCCTGCCTGCCGATGTCGTTTGACCCTTATAACCATTTGATCCTCGCAATATATGATCCTGGTGACGCTTGAACCACTCGAGGTGTGACCCTTGCGATGTTTGACCCTCGCGAGACATGGCACTTGAGAGGTATGATCCTTGCGACGTTGGACCCTCGCGAGATAAAAAGAAAGTACCTTCTGATCATGGCGCTTCCCACGTTCAAAAAGGTCCAAAACCTCTGCGGTAAGATACTTGTGACCATTTGATCCTCACAAGATATGATCCTGGTGACGTTTGAACCTCGCGAGGTGTGACCCTTGCGAGGTATGACCCTTAAGAAGTATGATTCTTGCGACGTTTGACCCCCGCGAGATAAAACGAAAGAACCTTCTGATCATGGCTTTTCCCATATTCAAAAAGGTCCAAAACCTCTACAGTAAATTACTTGTTTCTTGACCTGTCGAAAACTAGGTAGATTATTAGTGATATTTTACTCGCGCAATCCTGTCTGGGAGGATGACTGCCGCGATCCATACCCCCGTGGAAATATTGAATTGGTACTCCTAAGATTCCAGCTTCGGGGCACAAATAAAGGTGAGAAGTAGGGTCCGAATAAGGGTAAGATAAGGATGAGAATGAGGGTCAAAATAAGGGGTTCATGTGAGGGTCATGTGGGGATCAAATGGGGGTCATATGAGGGCCATGTGAAGTTCACATGGGACTTTCAAGTCCTTGACTGCCTTTTTCTAAAAACAAACCAATCGCTCCTAATGGATCGCACCATAACAGCTGTTGGGGGTTGGCGCGGGGAGTGAGCATCGGGCGAAGCTCCTAGTACGAGATATAATCATACCGAATTTCAACATGATATCTTGTTATCGTACGCACATGACAAAAACATCGGATAAATGTAAATATCTCGAGAACTTTGTTTGAACGATTTCCCCTATCGATAAAAAACGTAGTAACGGAGATGATAAAACAAGGTGATTCAATTCCTCAGAAAGATTCTCCAATCAAAATTCAATCCGTTCAGTTATCGCCAAGTTCAGGGAATTTATGCAGCTGTGGAGCTAACTCGGTTAATATCGACACTTCAATTCAAATGAGTGAAGCTTTATTTCTTAGGAAAACAACAACAATAATTATTTCTTGTAGATGGCGATGTCAGAGCATGTCCTGAAAGTTTCCTGCTTTCCACATTCAATTGCTCCCCTTCCATTCTCGCACATACCCCAATTATTTCCGGCTGTATACTGCCATCTGAGAGCACAATGTTCGCACGTCAGATCCTCGGGCAAGACCAATTCAATAGCATAATCATCGGCATCATAACGGGGCAAAACGTACTTCCATTGGCCGTCTGCTGTCAAAATTGGGTGCCTCTTGAAACACTCTTCCGTTTCTATGTCACTCGGTTTGTCCAGTGGACACAGGGCGAAGGTGAAGTAGCCTCGATGATTTGATGTTATGCGGACGATTGCTGTGAAAGCTTGACCCTGGGTGTAACTATTAACAAATGATGAAAATCCACATGATCAATAACAATCACTAATAATTAAGATTAAGACTAGCGAACGGGCGCTTCGTGTATAGAAATATCAAATTCTATAAATTTTGTCCTATGAAATCATTTCTATTGAATATTCTCTATTTAAAAAAAACACCTAGTAAAACTGCGGAGAAAATTTTCCCTCAGAATCGGTGAATAACTAACGGAGCTTTCAGTAGAACTTCAATAAAAATAGAATAGTTTTATAACAAATCCGCTACATTTTCATATGGAAGTTTGGAGGTAATGTCATTTGTGAAAAATTGTAAAGTCAAATTATTTCCCTAATATCTTGAAAACAATGAACTGTGGGACAATTTGTCAAATGACATTTTCATGGAGAATTAAAATAGCTATAAAAATTATGATATGCTATTATTGTTCAACTCTACTACACTGATAGAGAAAAATATTTTTATTAAGATGTTTCTTTCTGAGAACAAGTATTATATACTTGAACCAATTTCAAATAAATAAAATCGTACTGTGAATATCAATTATTTTTTCTTAAGGTCCATTTACTTGAATCAAATAAAATAGTCCTTGACGTGAAGTCACACGTATTCACCACAAAAATGGAAACGTTCTATTTTTTTTAACCTCATATAATCTCCAGTCGAGAAATTTTTTCTACTTTCATGAATTGTTCAAAAATTCGTACTTAGGAGATGATTACATTGAGGAATGAATTGAATGTTGGTTTCTCGAATGAAGCACGGAAAAAAAATATTCTCGAATCGGGTATATAATATTCCGGAATCCGGAATAATATTCCGGAATCCGGGATATTTTATTCTTGTTTTCGGAGACATCCCCAGGGGTTTGCCGACTTTTCCAAGGGTAAAGGGAGTATCGTCAGATAATTCCCGATAACAAACTTTTGGTTGTTCGGAGTATTTAGGGTGCAGACATTTTTTTCCGTTGGAAAATACGAAAAATAGAGTTTTTCACCCTCTCAATATACTGTTAAAAAATTTTCCCTGAATTTTTCGGATTTTAGCCTCGAAATATCAAACAAGTGACAGTTTCACGGAAATTTCGAAGAATTTTGTCATTGAAAATTCATGATTTTCATGGACAAATCCATGGAAATTGTAAATTTCAATTGAATTATTACACACAGAGAAAAAGAGAAAAAGAGAATTCAGCATTGGCTTTAGAAAATATTAGTTCTTAAAAACAATCCCCAAATTAGTTAATTTTTATGATCCCACCAAGGATGAAGCTTAAGAACAGGAGTTTCTAAAATCTAGAAACTAGTTTCTAAAGCTAATCCACTTTTTTTCTCTGTGTGGAATAATTCAATTGAATATTACAATTTCCATGGATTTTTCCATGAAAATCCTGAATTTTCAATGATAAAATTTTGTGAAATTTCAGTGAAACTGTCATTTGTTTGATATTTCAAGACTAAAATCCGAAAAATTCAGAGAATATTTTTCAACAGTGTATTGAGAGGGTGAAAAACTCAATTTTTCGTATTTTCAAACGGAAAAAAAATGTTTGCACCCCAAATACTACGATCAACCAAAAGTTTGTTATCGGAAATTATCTCACGATACTCCCTTTACCCTTTGAATAGTCGGCAAACCTCTGGGGATATCTCCGGAAACGAGAATAAAATATCCCGGATTCCGGAATATAATATACCGGATTCAGAAATATTATTTCGGATTTAATCCGAATATAATATTCCGGAATCAGGAATATGTGTATTCCGGAATACGGAATATTATATACCCGATTCGAGAATATTTTTTTTCCGTGAGCCGATGTTTAAATTAAGCTGTACATCACATTGAACGAAATTTGTGATATCTAAGTTTGTCTTGAATTGCCGTAATTTGTGATTCTATTATTGTAAATTAATGCGATTTTTTTCAGTCAAGAAATATAAACTTCTTTCAACTCAACGACATCTTACTATGTACAATCTCAAAGCTTATTCCGCGTAACAATATTCATTCTGATTCGCCATACGGAATGCTCACTTCAATTATAATTTACTTGGCACAACGTGTATGATCGTGTTGATTGAGATATCAACGTATTTAGTCATGAGAATAATTTTGATTTTTGAGTAAACCAACGAATTTCTGGAGTTAGCAAACTTTTGGCTAAAAAGAAATCAAATACTCTCATTATTCCGACAAATAAAAGGAACTTCAATTCTAGAGAAGTTCGATTTCTCCCAATCAAATGTATCTCAAGAAGAGATAACTGGTATTCACTATGAAATCATGATCATTTGAAAATTAATAACCAAATAATAGTTAGTTCAAATAAAATTCTCTTGATAAAATTATTTTTTTATAGTTTCCGAAATATTGACAATACTATAGTCTGCTAAGAATTTTTGGTTCGTCTCATTTTACACTACACATTTTTGTTTCATTTTAAAAAATTAATTGGTAGTAATTACTTTTGGACAATTGTTCCAGTTCCATAGAGTCCACCATTTTCGCTCCGCCTGGGTTGATCATCTGAATAAGAATCCCCACACGCGCCGCATCTTCCACCATTCACTTCATACTGAACCTGAGAACAAATATGTCGATTCCAATGAACATCATTCGTTTTAACACGTCTGTCATTTTTTGTTTCTCTTTCGACACCTAAAAACCTTACTAGTCCCGCAATTTTCAATATTTTTTAGTGAAATTTTTTCGAGTATTCCATATGACCCTCCGCAAAATCAATGGTATGGAATTTGACACCGCTCAATTCCTTTTGTTAGATGAAAAAAAAACAAAGAATGTTATTGAAAAATGAAAAAACTAGTTTTAATGGCGAAAAGTGAAACATGACAACGTTGACCCAATTTTTTTTTTTTAATTTTTTTTTTCGAAAAGCTGAAACAATTTTACATAAAATCCATATGCGTAAAAAAGGCGGCTACTGTGGGTTTAACGAAAAAAAAAACAAAATCAACATTAAAACTCATTATTGACAGGAAAAATTATTAATTTAAAATTTTCAAAATATAATTTTTTTTAATTCAGAAAATTTCCGATGTAAACTGTTATTTCTCTGCTACTTACGTAACAAAAGGTCTGAAAATTGCAGTCTTCTCATTTTAGTGTGGTTAATAAAATAGAAACGAAAATTCAAAACCGAACTTTGGAGGCCTAAAACCCATGACACTTATTGTGGAATGTTCCATATAATCAGAAAAAAAAATTTAACGTTTATTTATCTTTAGAAAAAAATATGTTCATTTTATCCATCTTCACTTTTAATAACTAATTTAAATGGCACTATTTCTCAATTTTCATTCCACGGAACATCGGAATGACTTCAGCAATGAAAATAATGATTAAGAAAATCAGACAAGATCAAATGAAATGGAATTCAATGCTAAGTCAATTCATAATACAATCCATTGAAATATAATAAAATGGAAAAACAATATCATATAACAATATCACCCTTTCCCTAGTTATCAAAAAAACATAACGGTTTAGCCCTTATCAACCCCAGATTGATCACCCTATGAAGAAAACCTCGCTACGCCTCGTTTTTCTTCAATTACAATTGACTGGTTAACCGGAAAAATTCAAGAAATTTGACTTTGTCAATTGAAGGGTCCAAAAGAGAAGTGTAAAAAAAGTGAGAAATCTAAAAAATTATACTAGTTTTTAGAACAACATATTTCCCAAAATTCCTAAAAAAAAAAAATCATTTCGGACAGATGAATTTTTTTTTCCCATGTTAACCCCTCACGTACGACGTCCATATAACGCGGCTTGTCCCAACGGCCGGGAAACTTGCGGGGCGTCAACTCCGTTATTCAATGAGCGATAACTTGAAAACAGTTGAACGAAAAAAATTGAAATAAAATGCATTGACTGCATTAAACTTTGAAAAAAACTCCCCAAGAACTGTTTTTTTTCCCATAATTCCCTAATTGTTGACACTAATTTCAATGTTTGCCGACAATCGGTTGGCGAGATCTTCTAATATGCTAAATTTATTTATAACAAACAACTTATTCAACAAATCGAAATTTAACTTTTGTCATTCGATAAAAGGATTATTAAAGTATTTTCAATAAAAATTTCATAATTTTTGGGGGAAAATTTTGGCGATAAACGAGATGATTCAATATGATTGAATCGGTTCGGTGAAAAATTTTCATCTACAACTTTTGTTCATAGAAATAAATATTACAAATGCACTGAAAAAGAAATAAAATAGTTCCCTGCAGAGACAATTCCATTGACTTACCAAGTACCTTTTCCAAATGTCAACGTCTCTTAGAATTCGAGAAAATGATTTTTTACTGTTGACGGAAAGGGTCGATACCATGCATTGACCCCGGCCGATAGGACAAGCTTATGGGTTAATGCATGGTATCGACGGCGTACGTGAGGGGTTAAATGAGATTGCCCATGACGCGACGTTGCCGGAAACTCGTTAAACGCGCCCGGGCAGTCTAGAGTGAATTTGGCAACGCTAAAGCCTAAATAACACAGCGGCGGATGCCCGCGGAGGTGACCAAGTCACAGGATCTCGTTTGGTGACCAGACTAGTGCTAAATACGCGGAAAGCCACTAGTGGCATTAACTATGGCATTGACGGTACACTGATAGAACGGATTAGTTATTGTTAACGAATGGATTGTGGTTGGAGGTTAGGGTCTATTCGGTCCCACCAAATGTTCATTCGTTAATAGTTAACGAATGTAGATTTGAGGAGCCTTGTTTGACTTGAGTTTCGCCATTTAAGTGAACCATTTGTTAACTATTAGCGAATATTCATTTGGTCATATTCAACTCTACCATTCGTTGATAGTTAACGAATCTCATTTGGAATAAATGAATCATTCTATCAGTGTAATCGAACTTCAATTTTCGGAAAAATCAATGACAATTTGTAAAACGAAACTAGACCGCTAAATAATACGATACATTAACGGAAAATGATCCCAGGGGTAATGCAATTGCTCCTGCACATTCAACTTACCGCCCATCCACCGCAGAAATTAGCATTATCGTCGTAATTAACTGGAGTATTAAAACCCAATCTCCATGCGCTGAGTCGATTCACAGGCTCCATTAGCATACCGTGACCCAATATTTGGGAGATATTGATCACGGCTATTATAAGAATTAAAGGCAATTTGAAACTTTTCATTTTTCAAGGGAAAAGGAAATTCTCTCGTTTTTAACCGAAAAAAATAGTTAGCTTATTATTTTCGATAACAGGATTTAAACAAGGGCAATTATTTCTTCGATTGTTAATGATCGTCTGCTCCTTCCGACAATCAAACTGTATCCGACGGAATCAGGTGACTTTGTCGCGATATTTCGCATGATTAATCCTTTTATATAGATTGACCGATAAACGGATTGATATCGCAGTACTGGATATCGGGTATCTAGCGATTGAATCATATTCAGGGATTTGGTGCCCCATTAATAATAGGAAACTGCGATAGGGAGAACAATGGAAGTTTTCTTATCGTTGAGGCTAACTATTTTTGGAGAAATCTGGTGAGATCATCAGAAGTGTGAAATGATGTTTGGATAACAAAAATAATGGCAAAACGAAACGAGTCGATTTGACACATTTTCGAAAATGGATGGTTACACTGCTAGACTGATTTATTTATTCCAAACGAGGTTCATCAACTATTAACAAATGGTAGAGTTGAATTTGACCAAATAAATATTCGTTAATAATTAATGAATGGTTAACTTGAAACGTGAAAATCGAGTCAAACAAGGCTCCTCAAATGTGCATTTGTTAACTATTAACGAATGAACATTTGGTGAGGCCGAAGAGACCCTCGCCTCCAACCCAATCCATTCGTTAACGATAACTAATCCTTTTTATCAGTGTATCTCGTTGGTGTGTGAATTTAGGAGAAATTTTTTCGATGAAGTTGTTGACCGTTGCAATTGATTCAAATAATTACGCGGAGAAACAAGTTGAAAAGAAATTCCTAAGCAAGTCAAATAATCGCCACAGAAAAAAAAATTGAATTGAGTACAAAATATACTTGAATCAAGTATATAATATACTTGATGCAAGTATATTTTATACTCGAATGGGGGATGGGTGTTTCAATTCGAGGATGGTTATTTCGTATCAGCCAGGGTTGTACCAAGCGCTCTCAAGTATAATATACAGGTCAGACACTGAGTGTGAGTATATAAGGGTCAAAAAGTGAAGTCCCAAATGAATTCACTCAAATCGCGTAGAAGATCCGTCAATTGTCAAGTATTGATTGTTTTCATGATTTTTTTGTTATGCAGCTCCAATATTTCGATATGTAATATATTCATGATATAATGCGCAATGATAGTGATAAATGAGAATTCATTCAAGTTCCGCGAACCGCAATTATTCTGAGATTTAAACCATTGAAAATAATTTACTTCTCTCATGTAAATATAGTCTACATATTAGAAAATTTTTCTCTCAGTGTGGTGGAGCAATCTTCTCAAATAGGAGAAAAAGTGCGAGATTAATAGAAAAGATTTCAACATAAAAAAGCAAACAGAAAAATCGAAATCTATTGACTTTTTCTTATCAAATATGCAAATGAATCTGCGCCAAAAACAAGTCGAATTTTAACGAGAATTCTCTATAATTTTAATAGAATCCCCATAGAATTTCTAGAGAAGTCCAATAGAATTTTGTAGCGAATTCGCTAAGGTTTTTTATTGAATTTTTTCATACGCATTATCACTAATTACACAATTATGTATGGTTTGCTCGTATTTATATCTTTGATTGTTTGCTGTTATGTTCACGGGCTTATCAGCTCATTGAAAATCCACGTGTCCCACTATAACCGTAATACCGTGATCAATATCTCGATGATCAATCATAACTCATAATTAACGACGTGATAAACCAGCTGGTGTTCGTTCGATTTCAAGTTTTTGTCCATGACAAGTTCCAATAATATCCACTCGGCAGCCGCTGAATAGAAATCGTTGTTTTCCACTCGTCATTCTTTATTTAATAACGATTGATAAGAACGCGAAATAGTGATAATGTAATTCTTATGTTGTGAGTGATTATGATGAGTGGGCAGAGAAAATCCAGACGGCATGACGATCTCTATTTATTTGAAAGTTATTGAGAGGTCCTGCATTGTTAGAAATTTTTTGAAAATAAAGTAATAGTTGCGCTTGCATTCTTAATGTTGTGAATTTCAATTAAATTTAAGATAAAATCGTTCATTGAATTTCTCATTCAGGTTAAAAATTCAGGATAATTGAGTTTTCCATGTTAGATTATCACTGTTATTTCAATGATATCTAGAATTTTCGAATTCATTGCGGAAATTAAACATCATATCCAACTGAATTTTCAGCGGATTCAAAATTGAGGCAAATTGTTGTTTGAATTTTCAAATTATTTAGTAATTTTCATCGTCATATGAACTTGAAAATTGTAATTCCATTGAATACTGCAGAATTCAGCTGATTTTTCTATAAAAAAATACATGAAAATTTCGAGTGAATGAGTAATTGTTAAAAATTTCAAGACTTCACTTGAAATTTCAGGAGTAATTGTTGAACAGTGTATAGACATAGATATTTAGAAGGCTTCCTCCACTATTTTTCAGATTTTTTTAAAGAAAATAGTCCATAACGTTTTCAAAAAAATTTGATGAAATTTCCGGTAGATTTGTTGGAAATGGTTATCAAGGGAAAATTCCACGGGAATTTCAACGAATTTCGTCATCGACAATTTGATGTAAAAATCAATGAAAACCGTGAATTTCAGTTCAATTATTTAATAATAATTAACAAAAATCAAGAAAATTCAGTTGAATATATTTTCAAATTTATTTATTTATTTATTTATTTATTGCTTTATACACACCCAACAGCTCAAGGCCAATTATAGGGTCAAACATATAATTAAGATACATAATTAATTACAGCATAACTGTAATCATGATGGGGATAACAAAATTAGATTTAACTAAACGTGTATGGCAATGAAATTCAGTGACGAAGGTGATGATACATAATAATCATTCAAGTACGAAGAGACTTAAGGTGGCGAATAGCTAATCTAAGCACTTCTGGCATTGGAGTGGACACTATATCCAATTGCCCCTCATAATAATCGACTAGCAGGTTAACATGGTTGCAGGATCTATATAATGGGGAAGAGGTTAATAATCCAGATTTAGGGAATGGTAGATAAAACGGTGCTTGGTAGCGAGAATTTAAACCTGGAGGAATTCTGAAGGGGAGTTGACCTAGAAATTCAGGACAATCAATGTTGCCCCTAATGAGCTTAATAATGAACAAAATTGCAGTGACTGTGCGTCTCTCGTTCAGAGACATCATATCAAATCGTTCAAGGAGATCAGTTAAATCGCATCCACGTTCAGGGTAGATACCGTCTGCTTTCCATGATAGGAACTTTAAGAATCTCCTGTGGATGTACTAAATTTTTTTTATTTGATTCTGATATGATGGCGACCAAACAACAGACGCATACTCAAGCTTAGGTACAACTAGACTGCAATACGTCTCTTGCGCAGCTCGTTGGTGGCATACAATCAAGATTTGAGCATGTGTAACCATGTACATACATGCTAATCAGCGCCACCTATTTCGGGTACTGTGCGTAACCTAGATAGAGAGTCCTCGTATGTATACAACACATGCAAAGATATAAGCAAGAGTTTTCTTTGCACTAGCAATCATCTGATCAATGTGTTGGGCAAACGTCAATCTACTGTTAAATACAACTCCAAGGTGACGATAATCAGTGACATCCTCAAGGATCACTCCGTCAATGTCATAAGAGGTTCGAATAGGGTTACGAGTTCTATAAAAAGATATTTTTTTGTATTTACGAGCATTAAGATTCAAATGTTTCAGGGTGCACCAATCAAACAAAAGATCAAGATTCCACTGTAGTCTATTAACATCAGTAACATCTCTAATGACCCTGTATAATTTTGTGTCATCTGTATAAAAACACCAGAATGAAGATCTCTCACAACATCATTTAAAAAAACGTTAAAAAGTAAAGGGCCTAAGATGGAGCCCTGAGAAACCCCTGAGGAAGGGAAAAAGGGCCTCGATGTTACACCCAGACAGGAAACGATACATGATCTATCTGTTAAATAAGATCTTAGTAGAGAAAGCAACTTCCCGGGCACCCCAAGGCTCTCAACCTTAGACAACAAGATACTAATGTCAACCCTGTCAAAAGCCTTGGAGAAGTCAGTGTAAATAACATCAACTTGACCCCCCTTGGCAATGACAGAGTTGACGAATTAAGTGTCTAAAATTAAATTTGTGACAGTCGAACGTTTCGGTACAAAACCGTGCTGAACACATGAAAGTAGTGGACAAAATATACTGAATAGACGATTGTAAAGGCAGATTTCAAGAACTTTGGAGAAGGTGGACACGTAGGAAAAAATCGTATAGAATCTTTCTATACGGACTATGTATAGCATTTCTATAGGTTTTTCGTATATGATATTCGGATATTTCTATACGAAAATTTCCTATACGGTTCATTTCTATACGAATTTCTACACGAATTCGTATAGAAATAATCCGTATAGGGAATTTTTGTATAGAAATATTCGAATATTATATACGAAAAACCTATAGAAATTCTATACGCAAATCGTATAGAAACTTTCTATACGATTTTTTCATACGTGGAGAGCACCGCTATAGGTCTGTAATTTTCAACATCATTTTTCGCACCTTTTTTATGTACTGGGCAGATACGAGCAATCTTCCAATTATCAGGAAAGACACCTGAACAAATGGCTCGATTGAAGATGATTCTTAACGGAGGAGTGAATACATCACAAGCCCCCCTGATGAGATTACCCGATATCTGATCCGTTGCAGACGTAGGCTTATTAGCCAATGATCTTAATGGCGCGCGAGATTTTCCGACTACTGAAGATTGAATTGTCACCTAAATGCTTAGCTTTAGAACAACGTTGATTGCTGCTACTAGACGTGATGTACACAATACTAAAGAAAGAACTAAACTCATTGACGATCTCCAGGGGAGTTGCTAGAATGACATCCCCATGGATCATGGAACATGGTATTCCAGAGTCCCCCCTGAATGAATTAGCAAAAGACCAAAACTTAGTAGGATCAACTAATATCGATCTCTCCACCTGCCCAATGTGTGCCTGGTGCGCTAATTTAACACTAACATTCAACTTTTTTCTCATGGTTATGAATTGATCTCTATGGAATTGTGAACTATATCTAACACTCTTAATTCTCTGCTGGTCCTTCAGTCTTAAATCAGAGATAATTTCACTCG